ATTCTCTCTACCCTCCTCCCAGTTTGTTCTTGTCCAAATGCCACAGTGCTTGTCAAAGCCAGTTCTGATTAATCTTCTTTGTCAGTGTGTCCTTTGCCATTCCCTATCACTCCTCCCTGAGAGAGACTTCACCCTGAGTCATAAGGAAAAGGGGATGGCATATTCTCTTAGCTACTTCCTGCTGAAAAGGGACGCTGTGGGTTTCAGGGTGAAGATCTTCTCTCACTACTCTAAAGGGCCCCTTTGGCAGTAGGAAACACATAGACTATTATGGAGACTGATTTTGGAATTTAGATGCACTCTTATTGATTGTGCTTGGCCGTACATGTTCATATCCTTGAAGATGTATCATGGGGGTGTTGCAACCTAGAAGACACAAATTTGACTAACAAGTTATAAGTACATGAGTCCAAAAATTATGGAAAAGTAAAAGAAAAGATTCTTTCATTGTTTTACAAACCCTCCCCCAGGTCCCCTCCACCATGTAGCCCTCGCTCTAGTCTCCTGTGATGACAAAAATACCTAGTTATATATCTCTTTTAAACAGTTTTCTCCCTCCTCTGTTCCAGTGCAGTATACATTATTGAACCCATCTTACTCAGTCTCTCCCCAACCCCAAGGACAGTCCCATTCTACAACAGTGGCATCATGTAATATTTGTCCTTTTGTGACTTGGATATTTCACTCAGCATAATGTTCTCCAGAGTCAACCATTTTGAATAATATTGCATGAGTTCCTTGTTTTTTAATGCAGCATAGTATTCCATTGTGCGAATATACCACAGCTTCTCTAGCCATTCGTTTGTTGATGGGCACTTAGGTTGTTTCCAACTCCTTGCTATTGTGAACAAAGCTGCAATAAACATGGGTGTGCATATATCTGCTTGGATGTCAGCTATGGTCTCTTCAGGGTATATTCCCAGTAGTGGAATTGCTGGGTCAAATGGTATCTCTATTTGCAACTTTTTGAGAAAGCGCCATACTGCTTTCCACAGGGGTTGCACCATTTTACACTCCCACCAACAGTGAATCAGGGTTCCAGTTTCTCCACAACCTCGCCAGCATTTGTTGCTTGCTGTTCTGTTAAATTTTGCTATTTTGACTGGGGTGAAATGATATCTCATAGTTGTTTTAATTTGCATCTCTCTTAGGGCTAGGGATTTTGAGCATCTCAACTCAAACTTAAGTAGAGATATCTCATTTATAAAAACCCACCTTGATTTTGACTCTCAGATCCATTGGCAGGGAATTAACTACAGCCATCTTTGAGGCTTCTCTCCCTTTTGATATTTATTCGAAGATTTGGCGTCATCAAGTTCTGGTTTTACCTACACTGGTTGTGGTATCGCCTTTCATTGTCCTCTGTAGAGTTGTTTGAGGTGAGCCTTAAAGACCAGGTGGTGTTTGTCACGTGTGTACCTATGGTATGTGCTTGTGTAGGGAGTGCCTTCATGTCTGGATCCTAGTAGAAGCGGCATGTGAATGAGTTTGGAATGTGTGGTGTATTTGAAGAAAAGTGATGCATATTGTGAAGTATTTTTATGTGACAGAAAAGAGTTGAGAAATGCTTTGCGGAAATGCTTCAGAATGGGGACTTGTTATCACAGTAGGTTTGTACCTGAGCTGAGAAGGGATTGGTGGTGGTGGGAATAGGAAGAAAGAACTGATTGGACAAAAGGCACCAGGAAGGCTCTGTGGGAAGGAGGTATAATCTGAGTAGATCTAGGTTTCTGTGCTGCCGTTAAGATGGTTACTGGAGATGTTAGCAGAGGCATTTGTTTTGAGTGGGCGATAAGGAGCTCAGTGTAGGCTGTGCTGAGCTGGGAGAGCGCTGGGGTTAGGTTCACATTTGGATTTAGAAGGCTCACCTTACCACCATTCACAGTGTCTTGCTGAGACCACTTGTTTTTTTTTTGTTTTTGTTTTTTTGTTGTTGGCTGTTAGGGGGAAGACAGTGATGTAGGAAGATGCTTATGAGAGAGGAGGAAATGACTAAAAGAGATTTTGCTTTACTAGTTAGAGACACTTTGTTTATATAAATTTTGTAATTCATGTATATCTTTGTAGTGGCCTGTTGGCAAGAAGCTGTGCTGCAGTCCAAAGGCACGCAGTTCAAATCCACCATCTGCTTCATGGGAGAAGGATGAACAGTCTCCTCTCATGCGATTTACAGTCTCTGGAAAACCCACTGGAGGGTCAGCTATGGGTTGTTTCCAACTTAAAGAGACACAACAACAACAACAACAACAACAGCATTTTAATAGAATTTGAGAACTCAGTATGCTTGAAATACTTTTAGTTTATGTGTTTTCTTAGAAGTTTGCCAATTTAGAGTTGATGCACTGCTGAAATTGATTTTTTAATAATTTTAATTGTTATATTTCTATTTATATGTTTTACTTAATGTGTTATATTAGTGATCATGCTTGATAATTCTCTTACTCCATTGTATCCCATTTGTTTGGAGTGGGCCTCTGTATGGACTCAAACTTACTGCTTTGTGTCAGACCTGACTCATAGCTGACCCTCAGGCAGGTTTCTAAAGGCTGTAAATTGTATGGGAGGAGACTTCCCATTTTTGGCCTGTGGAGCGGTAGGTAGTTGGATTTGAACACTAGCTTTTGGGCTGGCAGTGCAACTTCCTACTCTCTAGGCTACCAGAGTGCCCTGTATATGGATTGGGAAACATATAATCAAAAGCAGTTAAGAATTTAATATTGGAAGTGATAAATAGATTTGTGAACATTATCCAGTCTCAGGTAGAACATGATACACAAATGGTTTCATGGGGCGAGCTCTGGTGGCCTAGTGGCAGGAAACTGCACTGCAATCCCAGAGGTGCGCAGTTCAAATCCACCAGATGCTCTGCTGAAGAAGGAGGAACAATCGCCTCCTGTACCAGTTAGATCCAGTTTGATGGTACACACATAAAAAGAATAAATAAATAAATAAAAATTATAAAAAACAAACAAACAAAAAAAACAAATGGTTTCATGGTCCCCAGGTTGGTAACCACTGGTACTGAATTTCAGCTAAGACTTATGGGGAACTGTTGTATCCATTTATCTGTGAAGAAGGTCCAGGGTTTTATGCAGAGTTCATTGATGTCTTCTTGTACTAGATAAATGAAAGGGGATTCCTTGACTAGAATTTGGAAACCTGGTTTGCACAGTTCCACTTGCCAGTTAAATTTATCTGGGTGTGAGTTCACATTGTTGTTGTGTACTGTCAACCCATAGCTGACTCTTCAGTGAGTTTTCAGAGGAAGTTAATTGCACAGGAGGCGATTGCCCATCCTTCTCCTGTGAGATCACATTGGTAACAAGTTTTACTCTGTGTCATATTAACTCTTAGAGCTGGTTGCTAGAGAACATAATTTTATGTCTCTTGTGGGATATTTTGACAACTGGGAGAAAATTTGTGCTCTTTGTAATCTTGGTACAAAATCACATAGTCCAGCTGATGGTGCTTTACTCCTGTATTCCATTTAGTGACGCCCGTTAGCTTGGATGGGCCTCTCCAGTGAATTTTAGCACTCAGTTACTGAAAAGCAAAACCCAAACCAGATAACCAGCAAAGTTGAAATAATTTGTTCTTGAAAACAATGTATTTGAATTTTGTAAATAAACTAGTAGAAAGTTAAAACCATTAAAAAACCCAACAACCAAATAGCCAGCTCTTTCCTCCAAAAAACCATCTCAGTGTTCCTACAGAGCCTTATTCCTTCATGGTGTGGAAACTGTCCTTCATTATCTACCGTAAAGCCCTTGAACTTGATTCTGGTATTGCTGAGTAATCCAGATTTTTGTGAGGGGAGCTAAAGTGTATTGGTAGGCTAGTTAAGTGGCTTTTTGTCCACTATTTTACCAGGTGCAGTGACAGGGTTTTTTTGTTTGTTTGTTTTTTTAAAGTAACCATAATTTGTGGGTTATTTTTTTTTTCCCTTTCTGCCAGAGTTGGATATTTAGACATGCTGTGCTGCTGGACTGTTAGTTCCATGAAGATTAGCTAAGATAATTGTTAAGGTGATAAACTTAGTTGAACCAAAAAGAAATCATAGTAAATCTTCTCAAAGCAAACTTGGATTTTCTTAATGTGAATATTCCTAATGAAATGACTGAAATGAATTAAAATAGCCCAGGGTACAGGCTCCTTCCGGCATTTTGTTATTGTAATAATCAATTTCTACTTATTTACCAGTTGTCGTTAAGTACTTCAAGTCGCTAACTCACAGCGACCCTGTGCTTAGTGGCTCTGACCCCTTCTCTATCTTGAGCACCCTCATCATCTCTGAAATACTGGAGCCCCCCCGTTAGAGCCGCCTCATCGAGGGCCCCTCCACCTATCCAAATAGTGTCCTTTCCAAAGACTGACTCCTCCCAACAGCGTGCCCACAGAATGTGAGAGGAAGTTTCACTATACTTGCCTTCCAGGATTAATTTTTATTTCACTCCTAGAAAGTTAAAGGAAGAAACTGGTTAATGAACAGGAAAACTGACATTAAATCTCCGTTGTTCACTTTAAGGTTATGTGTATGATTTTAATTTCCTGCCTTTCAAATATGCTTTGAGCTGTGCCTAGAAAGCAGGTAATCAGATTGAAAAACTTGAACAAGATAAGTGGAAGTTATCTAGGTTGGGGGGGGGGCGGGGAAACAACTAAACAGGAATGACTGGGGGAAAAAGTCTTCCAGAACTAATTAGAAGCAGTGTTTTTTTTTTCTTTTTCTGTTGGGTTATTTATACCATTTTCTTTGCTTTGGTAAGAAACCAAGCCTTATCAGTTAACAGATTTTTTTTTAATATTACATTAAAAATCTAAGTACACTAATACATCATTAAAAGAAGTGTATAGGGTTAAAAATGGAGAATTGATTGAAATCAAGCCCCCCCTCCTCCCTTTGTTTTTAAAGTACTTTTGGGTAAAGTAGCAGGCTTCAAGTGAAATTGAGTTCTGGTCTCCTTTGCAGGAATAGCTATTGACAGTCAGAGCCACTTGCCCGTTTTGCAGTATCTCCTGAGAAGTAAGACTCTGAGCCAGCATGAAGACTGAGTCTTGCCTTTGGTCTGGTTTCCAGACCATGCTTTTATTCTAACAATGTGCAAGGTGGAGGGTAGAGCATGGAAACGAAAATCTTAGTAAGTGTGATTTTTGTTTCAGCTTATAATGCAATAGCCTTTCTTAAAGTGAATTTTGTCATTTAGTAGAACTCACACACTTAAAATGGGGTGGAGGCAGTGGTGCCCACACTTCTGAAGTGAGATTTCACTTTTCAGGCTCAGGAACAGTTTCCAGAGAGAGACAGAGATTGAGAGAGAGATTTAATTTCAGAGAGGGAGGGTGAGGCAGGAGCTCCTGTTACACCAGGTTTCTTCTTCTTTTGTTTGAGGGCACTCGCCTCCTTGCCATTGAGGCGGAACTGAGTCATAGCTGACCTTCCAAGCAAGTTTTCAGAGGCTATAGATTGTGCAAGATTGCCTGTCTTTCTCCTGCGGTAGGGTGGTAACAGTTGATCTGGGAAAGGATTTTAAAAATGGAGAAGTTATCTTTAGTGGACAGTGCATAATTTTAAGCTGCTAAGAAGAATCATTGAATTTCTTTGTACATGGCTTCATTTATGAATTGTTATTAAATAAAATGTTCATAATATTTACTATGTCATTGTAAAATCCTAGGAACCTTTAAAATAGTGAATTTTGAATTGAAATTGCATTTTGAAATATATAAATATATCTAAAATGTTCAAAATTTTGAGGTTTTAAAATTATATTGATATTTATATTACCAGTTACCTTAGCAGAGTTCCTGGTTTGATTTTCCTGAGCAGGGATGATAAACAGGTAGAGTGTTTTAAAAATTATTCTGAGGATAGAGAACATCAAGGAACTGTATCTGTCTTACAGTGCTAACTTTGTTACTTGTAAAGATCGCTCCTCACCTGCTAATTAAGTGTCATGGATAATTAGCACTTTAAACTGTTAATGCTAGAATCCCCTTTGATCCTTTAAATTCTTTAGTGAAGCAAATATTACTATACCCGGATAGCATAGCATTTTATGTTGTTCATAACTTGAGAATGGTTATGTGTTTAAAATACTATTTAACTTTGCTATTTTTCTTTCTTTAAGAGTTTTTTTAACTCTTGGTTACTTTTAAAAGTTGACAGCGATACTCTGGCTGAAATGAGACATTTTTGTTAGTGGCTTGCCTGTTTTAACAGATTCTTCTTTTAGCTTTTAGCACAGACCTTTAACTCTTGCATATCTACATTACATTCTAAAGTACAGTTTCATTTTATCTTATGGTCTAAAATTCTTCCTTGAAACCTATCTCTAGTATCTTTGTGGCAATAAAGGAAAAGTAGGGTAATGTATACAATTTTACATGCCTGTTCTGAGAAGTACAGTACATACTTTGAGTTGCAGAAGGATACTTACATTTTAGGGCATATTTTCAGAGGTGGAATCATGTAGTTATTGTTTCAATAACTGTGTCCTAATTATTTGTAGCTTCCTGCCTGACATAACTCACTTCAAGAAGTGCACAATGTCAGAACGTGGAATCAAGTGGGCGTGTGAATACTGTACGTATGAAAATTGGCCATCTGCAATCAAGTGTACAATGTGTCGTGCCCAGAGACCTAGTGGAACAATTATTACAGAAGATCCATTTAAAAGTGGTTCCAGTGATGTTGGCAGAGACTGGGATCCTTCTAGCACAGAAGGAGGAAGTAGTCCTTTGATATGTCCAGACTCTAGTGCGAGACCGAGGGTCAAGTCCACCTACAGCATAGAAAATGCAAACAAGTGGTCATGCCACATGTGCACATACTTGAACTGGCCGAGGGCAATCCGATGTACCCAGTGCTTATCCCAGCGCAGGACCAGGAGTCCCACAGAATCGCCTCAATCCTCAGGATCTGGCTCGAGACCAGTTGCTTTTTCTGTTGATCCTTGTGAGGAATACAACGATAGAAATAAACTGAACACAAGGGCTCAGCACTGGACTTGTTCTGTTTGCACATATGAAAACTGGGACAAGGCTAAAAAATGTGTTGTTTGTGATCATCCCAGACCTAATAACATTGAAGCAATAGAACTGGCAGAGACTGATGAGGCCTCCTCAATAATAAATGAGCAGGACCGGGCGCGCTGGAGAGGAAGCTGCAGCAGTGGGAACAGCCAAAGAAGATCGCCGCCGACGATGAAGCGGGACTCTGAAATGAAAATGGATTTTCAGAGAATTGAGTTGGCTGGTGCTGTTGGCAGCAAGGAGGAACTTGAAGTAGACTTCAAAAAACTAAAGCAAATTAAAAACAGGATGAAAAAGACTGATTGGCTATTCCTCAATGCTTGTGTGGGTAAGTGTCACTTTTCTGCAGTTTTCGAATGGGATGGGGAAAACCTCTTAAAAATGTGAGATGTAAGCAGAGTCAGTATTGTTTAGCATTGGTTTAGAAGGCTTTCCCCAGGCTTTCTGTTGCTGGTCATCATTGAGCTGTGGGTGCTCTGTGGTGTGCACGCCTATCTCTCTGGTCTCGTAAGCTCTGTTTTTAATTGCCTTCACTTAATTATGTGCTTCTCCATCACTTTTCGTTGAAGCAGGTTCCTAACCTAACAGTAGTAGGATATACACCTGGCATTTTTAACTGCCACTTTGTTTATTATAACAAGATGTGACTGAGGAGCACCAGCTGCTCTTCTGAAGTGTTTGTAAACAGTGTGAGCATCTTGTGATGACGGGTGCTTTAGTCAGATGTTAAAAATATCACAAAAATGTGTGGCTCCCAGAAGTTGAACTATAATTGTGACCTTGAAATGACTGATGCTGATTGAGTTAGCATGAGTATCAGCTAGTAAATATTTACATACTTTATGGGAGTGTCTCATGTAGCCAACTGATTTCCATAGGTCAGGTTATGACTGCATGTTTACTTAAGGGCATTCTGCCCGCTGGTCTCCACTTCTAGCCAAGAACTGTTTTAAGGACACAGCCCTGCAGGGTGATGGCTTATCTGTGTTGCTCCCCTTCCCTCAGTCACATGGTGTCATTATCCCTTGTTTTTTCTGAAGAAGAGCTTTAAAAGGTTTTTATTCATTAATTTTTTTTTCTGCAGTGAAATTCGTAGTGTAAATTGAATTTTTTTAAAGTGAACCATTCAGCTCATTTAATGTGTTGTGCAACCAGCACCTCTGTCTAGCTTGAAGGAAACTGTAGACACTAGACTACCATTCCCATTCCTTGGTCCTGACCTCTGACAAGCACTTTCTACCTGCATTTACATGTTCTGGACATTTCGTGTAAATGGAATCAGACAGTATGTGACTTTCTCTGTTCTGGCGTATTAATCTTCGTGTATGCTTTTTGGAAAACTCTTGCGTGATTTTTCAAATCATTTTTGCAGGGAGTATTACTACAGTATACATATATTAATATAATACCATGTGTATTTTTACTCCAAGGTGTTAATAGTGCACAGAGCTTGAGAGATGTAAGCGAACGAGACTTCACTGCAGTAAATTTCAGCCTTTTTGGACATCATAGAATTCTTAAGGAATCAGGGGTTCATGCACTGAATCTAGGATAAATCCTGCATTTGAAATATTTGCTCTTTGAAGCACACAGAGATAAGACCAATCCATGCAAGTCTGACTTCTTCGTTGCCATTCCCTACTCTCTTCATGGTGCTGACTTATTTCTTTTTGTTCACATTTTCTTTTTTTGAATAGCCACACTTGTATTTCTCATGCTAATGCCCATGTGTTAATTCCCCCCCCCCCATTCATTCATTGTTGCACATTTTCCTCCCTGCCCAGCCCTCCCCCCAGTTGGTTTTTCTCTTTGAAAAGTTTAAAAAAATACTTTCATTATTATACAACCCCCACCCGCCCCAGTCCACTCCACCATGCAGCTCTCATTCTGCACTATTGTCATGAAAATAATACTGAGTCATATATTCCTTTCAAACAGTTCTCTCCCTCAACTGTTTCAGTGCAGTAAACATTATTTATCCCCTCTTTTCTTTGTTTCCTCCTGCCCTGATGTCAGTCCTGCTTTACAACAGTGACATTATGCAGTATTTGTCCCTTTATGACTGAGATATTTCATAATGTCCTCCAGGGTCACTTGTATAATATTTCATGTGTTCCTTCTTTTTCAGTGCTGCATAGTATTCCATTGTGTGAATATACCACAGCATCTCTATCCATTCATTTGTTGATGGGCACTTGTGTTGTTTGCAGCTCTTTGTTATTGTGAATAAAGCCGCAGTAAACATGGTTGTGCATATATCTGCTTGGGTGGAAGTTAGGGTTTCTTTAGCATGTATTTCCAGTAGTGGAATTGCTGGGTCAAATGGTATTTCTATTTCCAACTTTTTGAGAAAGCATCACACTGCCTTCCATAGTGTTTGCCCCATTTTACACTCCTACCAACAGCCAATAAGGATTCCAGTTTCTCCGCAACCTTGCCAGCATTTGTTGTTTGCTTTTCTGTTAAAATTTTGCTAATCTTACTGGGGTGAAATGATATCTCATAGTAGTTTTGATTTGCATCTTTCTTAGAGAGGTAGGGATTTTGAACATTTCTTCATGTGTTTGTTCGTCATCTGAATGTCTTCTTTGGTGCAGTGTCTTTTCGTATCCTTTGTCCATTTTGCAATTGGGTTGTTGACCTTTATCTTGTGATGCTAGAGTATTTTATAAATTCTAGATATAATTCCCTTATCAAACATGTCACTACCAAATATATTTTCCCAGTCTGTGGCTTCCCTTTTTACCCTGTTGGAGAAGGTTTTAGATGTGCATCTGTGTGTTCATTTTAAAGGTGGAACACAGTGTCCTCCCAACAAGGCTAATAATTGATTTTGTCTTGTTCCCCATATAGTTTCTTTATCATTAAATCTCTTTGGACCACAAAAATGTCTAGATTCTTAGGGCCAAGAGTTGATTGTGTTTGGTTTTTGGTAATGTGAATTTTAAGTTTCCTGTTGGCAAATATTCTTAACTACACAGTCTATTCTGAACTGATAGTAAAAAGATCAGAGCTCTGTTTTGTTCCTGTGTTTTTCTCCCCATGCCTTTGATTTTGTTTCGTTTTACAATCATCACCCTCAGTAAAAGCTAAATATGTTAGGGAAAGACTTTTTAAAAAAATCTTGTTTACTTTAGACTTCAGTAAAACACACTCTCACACACATTTATATGCACCTCATCATGAAAACTAACACATTTGCATATACTTAAAATGAATTTTTCTTGCTTCTGCTTCTCCTGTATTTCCTGCATTTCAATAGATAACCTGATTTTTTTTTAAATCATCGAAGTATATATACTAAGTGTAAGATATACAGTGTATATGAAATACATTCTGAATATAAAATGCAAGGCTGTCCCATTTGAAAGGTCTCAAATTCCGGTCACCTTGGTAGCTGGTAAAATAGGCATGAAGATGAGTTAGTTGAGAGGACAGAGTAACAGTATTGCACAGGTATCTTAAATGACATCAGGTTGTAAATTTCACATGTCCTCTTCTGCAGCGTGAAGATGTTGTGAAATTCTTCTCGTGGTGAATCCAGTCCTAAAACCTGAAGTCAGTAGAGGTGGAAACTGGGTTTGGGAGGAGGAACAGTAAAGACAAAGTGTGGACTTAATGGATGTATTTAGAGGGTCATCTCAGCACTCACTGTAGATTGCCTTTCTTGGTGGGTAGATAATTGTGGGTTTAGGAATTAGTGTAACACAGTCTGATACACTGATAATCTGTTCTGTTGTATTGAATCTGTTGTCCTTTAAAAAGAATTTATATTTGTATCCAAATTAATACATTAGGAACCTCGTCTGTTCTAACTCCTTATGCCTCTGAACCCTGGACTCATTCAGTAGGACTGTTCAGTAGCTCCCTTTTAATCTCTGATAAGCATTTCCATTTCAGAGTGAAAAATTCCACTGTCTTTCCCTCAAATCTGCCTTGTTATGTTTTCTCATCCAAGTTGTCATTCCATTTGCTTTTGCCAGATGCCTTGGCTTTTTTCTACTAACCCCCCCTTGCTGTTTGCTTGAAAATCCTGTTGACTGTCTTATCAAAATGTACCCCGACTCTGACCATTCCTCACCCCCTGGTCCAAGCCACAGTACTCTCATAGTCTGTTCTCAGCAGAGGAGCCACCACACTCTTGTAGAACTTTACTCAGGGCCCTCATTCTCTGTGCCACTCACCGTACAAAGCAGAGTCCTTTCAATACAGGACCCTCTGTGCTCTGTGCCCTGACACCCCCACCCTGTCCTGTTGCTCTCCTACTCATCCTCCTCCAGCCACTCCGGCCACCTGGCTTTTTTCCAAGTAGACGACTCCTGTCTCAGACCTTTACCTGCTGTTTCCTCTCTCTTGACTTGCTTTCTCCAGGTACCTTCCTGCAGGATTAGCTGCTCATTGGCCTCTTTTTGAGTTCTTTCTTCAGCACTTGCCTTCTCACTGAGTTTTTACCGAGCTGCTGATATAAAATGACCACTCTACCCCTGTTACTTTTTCCTCAGCATGGATGTGGTCTCCCTCCTTTATTTCTCTTCATCATAATTGTCATCTTCTAACACAGTTTGTGATTTTCTTCTCTTCTTTAAAATTTGAACTTCATGAAGACTAGCAGTTTGGTTTGTTTTGTTAATGGCTGTGTTCTGGTGCCAAGAACAGGGCCTGATCCATGGCAGACACGCAAATACATGGTGCGGGGAATGTTTGCTTTTAGATCGTAGGATCTAGAGAGCTAGGCTGTCCTGTACTCTACCCCTGAATTGTAGATGTGTTGCTTGCTTCCTAGCTTTTTGTCTTTTCTGCCTTACAGAAAGGAACGGGAGCCAGCATAACCCTCTTGACTGTTGGGAAGTTGGGGCAGTAGATAGGATTAGCTCTCTGAACAGTGTGGTGAGCTCTCCTGAAGCTCGCAGATGCGATGCAGTGGACCAAAGTGCCGCCTGGTCCTGCCCAGCCTCAGGATCAGTTGTGGATTAGATCATTGGGCGGGCAGAGGACAGGAGATGTCTGAAGTGACGTTTCTTTTAAGTCGAGTTTTTGTGCTTTTAGTTTTTCAGTTTTTCTACCTTTACTGATAGCAGTGTTTAATTGGGGGGTGGGAGAATCAGTCACTATATCTAAAGTCTTATCAAATACAATTTTAACTTGAAATGTTTTTGTTTATTCCGTTGTTTAACGTGTTGCTTCTAGTTGGCATTTTGTTTCTCTGACTACCTATGACTGAAATGAAATATGACATATAATGAAAAGAGAAGCAGCTGAGACTTGGGGTTCCACGACAGATTCCTCCGAAATGAGCGTTTACACTGAAATGGTCAGTTATCCGACAGC